TACTTCAGGCACACCTACTGTTTCAAGTACAAATAATTTCCATGTTGGAAGCATTGAAGCTGCATTGCTTTTTAAGGGCATTGTAGTTATAGCAGACAATATGCTTAACTGTCAGGAAAATCCATGTTGTCAGCCTGGACTTATTTGAGTCTGAATCCCCTTCCTTCTCTGAATATCAGGTTTAGCAGCTCTTTTGAGTATTGCTAATAAACAGTGTGTTCTCATGCTTGAAATAAAAATGCTTGCTATGCAACGCGCCCTGGACCGCTCACCTCCGGGCCCGGCCCGCGCCCTCGCAGAGCCTGGCGCTGCGGAGAGGGAGGGGGCCGGCCGGGACCCCTGCCCATCGCCCCTCCCCCCGCGCGGTAAGGCTGGGCTGGGAGGTGGGTGGTGGTCTCGCCTCTCTGCATAGCGCGCGCTAGGCGCTCACCTCCCCTACTGGCCCAGCCCCGGCCCCTCCGCGCGGCACGGGGAGCCCCCCATGCCCTCTGCACGGAACACACAGGCCGGCGCCGCGCTCAAAGGAGAACCATCTTTATTTACAAATGTACAGTTTCACAGAAACAGCTTGGTTTATGCAGACGGACACCACACGGGACCACGGCCGGGACCCTGCACAAAGCAGCTGACCACACAAGCCCAGCGGGCCCCAGCCCTGGCGCGGCTCTGCCACAGACCAGGAGGAAGCGGGGGACCCCATGGAGCCCCTCCGAGGCGACACCAGCGCGGCCCGGCTCCAGGCTCTTAAATGCACTTCTAAAAGCTCAAGTTTAAAACAGAAACGACTTTGGAACTTGGGCTGGGCAGGCGCGGCCGGGCAGCTCTTTGGCTCTGGGCTGGGGAGCCCCCGACAAACACGGCTTCACCACTGTTTCGCTACTTGTTGACAGAAGCATTTAAAACACAGAGACAGACCCGGCCCGACAGGAGAGATGCGACAACAGCAAACTATGTATCCGCCCTGGAGTTTCGGGAGAGAACTCTGCTGGCCCGAGACCCCCGCCCCGCTACAAGCACACTTGGGCACTACTCCCTCTCCGCCTTCCAGGGAACAAGGCTCGTGGAAACACTTCACAAACAGGTGCCCAGACCAGCTGTGTCCCAGAGCCCCGGCCCTGGCCCTCCCGGTGGCCTCCCCGCCTGGACCCCAGTTCCCGTCTTTCCGGGGGCCAATACCAACACCTCACTGACTGCAAACCGAAAGGGCTCATGCCCTCCCCCTGCCCCGTGGACCAGCCGCTCCCCTCCCCCACCCCGTGAAGGACCACCACTCTCATCCCCTCCAGGAGCTCCCACACCTGCCAACAGCTCACCTGGGCCCGCCGGGACCAGCACCCAGCAGGAAATTGGCCAATACTTTGGCAGCATCGTGCAAAAAGACAGATTTTGTTACATCGTGCAAATCAGGAAACTGAGTTATGAACAAAGGGCCACCTCAACCCCCAACCAACCCCCTTTCCATAGAGGTGGCCGCACACTGTCCCTTTTTCAACAGACAGAAGGAAACCTAAGAACTGCTAAGGGGCTCGCCTCCCCCGGCTCGGGCAGCTGAGCCAGGCAGGGGCGGACCACAAAGGTAGGGGCGAACGTCTGACGGCTGCTGTAGACACGTATGGTAAGACACGTGGGAAGAAACTGACACGCATGGCCGTTCAGACAGGCCAGGGAGACACCCCTCCCCCTCCCCTGGCACGTGGAGGAAGGAAGAGCGCTCATCCCAAGTAGCGGGCATCTGTCACAAGGTCAGCGACAACTCACAGCTACCACGCACCCGCACTTCTGGCCGACCCAAGGCCACCGCGCCGGGTGTCCCGCCCACCTGCACTGCGGAGGACACAGCTCTGGCAGCGCTGGCCACGGGGGTTTTACTCGGTCACTGGCTATGTACAGCTCGTCTGCGTGGACAGCCTGTCCTTTAGCTTAGGCACCTGAGTGGCAGGCATCTGCCCACACCAGAGCTCAAGAGTTCTGTGCTCAACCGAGAGGCCAAAGAGCCCGCCGACCCTCCGGCTCCTCGCCCAGTCTCCTGGCCGGCGGCCGTCAGTCCAGAAACAGCTTCCGGGAGCCCATGCGGGAACGGCTGGAACGGCGGATGTCGAACTTGGAGTCCCGGCACTTTTGGCAGACAAACACTTCGGGGACGTTGGACTTGCGGATCTTCGCGCAGGACAGGTGAATCCAGGTGTGGCACTCGTTGCACTCAATCATGGGGCGGCCAGCGAACGGTTTCATGCAGAAGCAGGTGACGAGGTCCCAGGAGTCGTCATCTGAAAGAAAGGAAAACGCTAAGAGGAGGGGACGTAACCGCTCAGCCTCCCAGCCCAGGGGCCGCTGGCCCGGCAGACAGGGCGGCCGAGTGTGCGGAACCCATCCGTCCTGCACTTAACGTGCAGGCTCACAACAAAGGGCCCCGGGTGCGGCCGCCACGCGCTCGGAGATTCTGAGCTGCGCCCTGGATCTCTGCTGCTGCTACAGAGCGAGCCCTCCTCCCAGGAGGGGGCAGGGACCGTCCACTCCCGAGAGGGGCCTCCGCCGGCCACCACGCGCCCCCAGGGAGCACTCACCGGAGTCCACCATGATGTCCTCGTCGTTGCCGGTGCTGTCCTCGTCCCGGAACACCACCTGCTTCCCCTGCCGGACGATAGTCCGTTTGCCTTCAGTTTTTATTTCCTTGACCTGATCAGGTGACACAGTGGCACAAGACCCACTGGAGGGAGTGTCAGAGTCCCAGCCCGAGCAGGGGTCGCCGGGGGCCTGGGGAACGCCCTGCAGGGCGGGGCTCGCGGGGGTCTCGGCGAAGGCGGCGGCGGCGTCCAGCTTCAGCAGGCCGCCCCTGTAGCCCTCCTTCCCGGGCCCGTCGCTGTCCCGGCGCTTCCTCTTCTTCTTCTTCTTCAGCTTGTCCGTCTTCTTCCTGTCCAGCAGGAAGTTGCTGGGCTTGGCTCGCTGCAGGAGGGTGGGCTGCAGGTGGCTAAAGCAGCGATCGGAGACCGGCAGGGGCACCGAGGCGGCCACGTCGGTGAAGCCGGCGTCCCAGCCATCGCTGTCCACGGTGCCCGCGGTGCTGTTGGCCGGGCTGGGGCTGCTCCTCAGAGGCGGCTCCTGAAAGGAGGCGGCGCAGGTTCTGGTTACGGTGCCGGGGCCAGCCGGCCCCACAGCCTCCCGGCCGCACCCCGGCCAGGCGCCCTCGAAGGAGGCGTCCGTCCACACAGCCTCGAACCTCTCGGCTCGGCAGCACTACGGGCGAGGCTGGAGGAGAGACCCCCTCTGCTGTTGAACCCCAGGCCCCGTCCCAGGCAGGAAGTGAGCTGTCGGGAAGAGGCGCCGCCGGCACCTCACCCCTCACCTTCTCTGTCAACCTCTCCTCCACTTCCCCTCCCAAGAGGAACGCTTTTTTAATTCAGTGAATTAAATTAGTTTTGAGAATTTCCTGACACTTTTAAAAAACCTGGAGATATCCCATAATAACACAACACTGAAGCAGGCAACTCCTGCCCCAAAGCAGCGAGCGGGCGCCGGCTGCAGCCCTTCCAGGCACGGCATCTGCCAACAGGCAGCCTCCTGCATGGAGCCGTCCAGAGCCAGCGAGGCACTGGCGGCACTGGTGTCACGACGCGGGGCCTGGCTCCGGAAAGCTGGATTCTTCCACGTCTAGCCTTGCACGCTGTGACCAAGGCCCCTTACGTCCCACAGCGCGGCAGCTCTGGCCCACCGGCCGGCCCTCTCCCCAGCAGGAGACCTGATGCAGCCGTCCCTGGAAGACTCCGTGCGTGGTGTTACCGCAACACGGAGGCTGCTAGACACCTGAGCTCCACCTCTAACCCACCAGGGCCCGGGGCGAGCGGGGCCCTCTGATGCCTTGGTGTCCCTGTCGGTAACTACCGGATCGACAGACACCCCCACACCCCCACCTCGGTCGGCGTGTGCTGGCCCTCTGTAAGGGCAGGCAGGGAGCAAACAAGCAAACAAGCGGAACCCCCGGAGGCCCTTCCTGCCCACGCCCAGCCCTCACGGCCTGAGGGTTACCTCCTTCGGGTAGGGGATGTAGCCAGCGTAGGCCAACACGAAGGTGCAGAACTTGTTGAAGTCCTCCACGGTCCTCCGCCTCTTGCAGCTGGGCGAGTACTCCTGTGAAGGGGAGGAGCCGTCAGCGGGCGCCCACACCCCAACTACGCTGCGGGGTGCACCCGGGATCCGCGGCCAAGGCTTCACTCCACTGCCAGAGGGAGCCAGCGCTGCGATTTCAGGCCACGATCGCGGGAAGCCGGCTGCGAGATAAAGGCCTGCACAGAAGTTCGGTTCTGCGCCTGTGTGCGGCTGCCGGCCTTATCTGCTCCTCGGCCGGCCGCCGGGAGTCCTACCCCGACTGCCACAGCCTCTCCCACCGAAACCACCTCAAGGGGCCTGGGGAGACCCCTCCCTGCTGCTGAGGGGTCCCCCGGGCGCCAGGGGTCGGGGGTCTCCGGGAGCCCAGCAGGCCGCCCGCGGAGGCCCACGGGGAGACCTCCGCCCCGCCCCGCCCTCCCCTCGAGGCCGCGGGAAGGGACTTCTCCCGAGGTAGCCCAGCCCCCGCTCCCTCGGCCGGCCGGCATTTTGGCCGCGGGCTTCTCGGCACTCCGGCCCCCACCCCGGCCTCACCGAGGCGCCCCGCCGGCCCGACCCGAGCGCGGTCCCCCAGCACCGCCACGCCGACGCCGGAGGACGCGGGGGCACCCTCGCGCGCAGCCGCCGGCGCCTCCTCTTCCCCAAACTCCAGGCTCCGCCGCCGGACCCCCGAGGCCGCCCGCCCCGCACGGCCCACGCCGCGCCCCGCCGCTCCGACTCCGGGAGGAACTTTTCCTCGGGCAGGGAGCGGGCAGGGCGGAGGGGACCCGCGCCTCCCCGCGCCGCCGCCTGCGGGCACAGCAGATGGCGGGGCGGCCCCCTCCCCGCCGACATCGGGCCCGGAAGGTGCGGGGCCCACTCCGCGGGGGCGGGGGGCTGCCGGGCGACACTCGGGCGTCCCTGGGCTCCGGAGGCCCCGCGAAACCACTACCCCCCCCGCGGGCGGCCACGCGACCGAGGAGCGCCCGGCGCCGCCTCCCCTCCCCCACCCGCCCCGGCCACCCGCCCCGCACCCCGGACCCCGGCGGGGAGGGGGCGAGCGAGCGGGCGGCCGCCGGGGGACCGCGGGGAGAACCGAGGGCCGATCCCCGGAAGGAGGGGGAGTGAGCCGGGGCGGAGCGAGGCGAGCCGCGCCGCGGGCGGGGGCCGGGGGCTCCGCAGGGGGAGGCGAGCGCGCCCGAGGGCGTGGGGGCGCCGGCTCGGGGCCCCGGAGAGGGTGCGGACCCCCGACAGACGCGGCCCGGAGCCACTCAGGGGGCGGGGGCCGACCGGGCCGCGAGCGGAGCCAGGGGGCGGGGCGCGGGCCGGGGGGACCGGGAGAGCGGCGGTGCGGCGCGGGCCGAGCCCCCCGGCCGAGGGGAGCCGGGAGCCCCCCGGGAGGAGGGGGAGGGGGCCCTGCGAGAGAAGCGGGAGCGCGGCGCGGGCGGCAGCTCGGACCGCGTCCCCGGGGGCGGGGAAGGAGCCAGCAGGCCGGCGGGAGGGGCCGGGGCAGCGGACAGGTCCCAGGGCGACGCGAGGCCGGAGAGGCGCCCCGAGCAGCCGAGTGGGCGCGGCGGCCCTGCGGAGGGGGCGCGGGAGGGCGCGGGCGTCCGGGCAGGGGAGGACGGGGCGCCGGCCGAGCGGGGGGCGGGGGCTGAGGGGGGCGACGAGGCAGAGCTGGGGGAGGGGAGGGCCGCACTCGCGGCGGCCGGGGGTCGGGCTTCCCCGGGGAGCGCAGAGCGGGTGGGGGCGGCCGGGGGGCGGCCGGGGCGCAGCTCCCACTCACCTCCGGGTGGAAGGCGGCGGCGCAGGAGTCGGAGTCCATGTTCCGGGGTGGGGGGCGGCGGCTGCGGGAGTGCAGGGGCCGGGATGCGGGAGTGGGGCCGCCGGGGGCTGGGGGCTCCGGTGGCCTCGCAAGGCGAGGGCGGACCCGGGAGGGGTCGCTCCGGCTGGAGGCGATGAGGGGCTCGGCGTGTCGCGTCTCGGGTTCTGTGCTCCCGGGCTGGCGGCTCCACTACCGAGCAGAGTAGGCGATGCAGCTCCCGCGGCCGGCGCGGCGGGAGAGTCGCGGCGGGGGGCGGCGGCGGCGGCGAGCGGGAACCCGACCGGCTCCCCGACCTGACGCCCAGTTCGGCTCGTGTCTCCGGAGGGAGGGCGGGAGGGCCGCGAGGGCTGTCGGGAGATGTAGTCTGGCGGCGTCTAGGGGCCGGCGGCGCGGGGGCGTGGCGCGGTGCATTGTGGGAGTCGTAGTCCGTGGCCAGCCAATGCGGCGCACAAAGGCCGCTTCGGGACTCCAACACCCATGGGGCCTCGCGGCGGCCCCCGGGAGTGCGGAGGCGGGGTCTCGGGGGCTCGAGGGCCGCTCGAGCGGGGGAGGTGCGGGGGCTTGCGCCCGCTCAGCCTGGGAGGCAGGGGGGAGGGGCAGCGCGAGTGGCTGCGCCTCAGACTGCGCGCGGGCGGGGGCGGGGGCGGGGGTCGCCCCTGCGGGTGGGGGTCGGGACTGGCGGGCCTGGGTCGCGGGGGGCGGCGGCTGGCGCCTCCCATCTGTGCGCTGGGGGCTTGGGGTTTGTGCTCTTTTGTGGGGCCGGGGTCCCCGCGCTCTGCTCCCCGAGTGGGGCGTGTGCACTGAAGTTCGCCCCCCCCCCCCGGGCCCGCTTCCCTGCGGGGGGGAGCCCCGGTCGCCCCCAAAAGCCCCGGGCCGGGGGGAAGCGAACTTTGTTTTTCCGGGCTGCGGGGTTTCTGGCCGGCGGCGCGGGCTCCGCGGGAGCGGCGGGGCCGAGGCCGGCGGGGTCGGGGCCGCAGAGGCCGCGTGAGGCGGGGTCGGGCCGGGCCGCCGGCGTCGCCCGCGAGGTAGAGGTGCTTGCTTGGAATTCCCTTGTGGTGGTGGTCGGCGCCGCCCCTGCCCCCGCTCGGGACGGCCGCGGCGGTGCGGGCCTCCGGGCGTGGACGGCGGCCGCGCTGACGGACGCGGGGCCGGGGCGCCCGCGGGCCGCTTCACAACTTTTCCCGTGGGTGGGGGTGGCCCGGGCGGAGTCGCGGTGATTGACGGCGGAGGCCTCGAGCGCGGGCCGTTGCGGGGCGGTGGGGTCCCGGGACGGATCCGGCGGGAAGACGGGTCCCGAGGAGCCTGGGTTGTCGCACAGACGCCCCTCGGCGGGCCGAAGGTTGGCGGAGCGCCCTGGCGCGGTAAGTGGCAGTCTCACTGTCGGGTGTCGCGGTGTGGGTGCTGGGTCACCGCCCCTCGCTGGGGTCCCCCCCCAGGTAAAGTGACCGAGGTGGAAGCGGAGGCGGTGGTCGCAGGCTGCCAGGCGTCCACTAACAGCTCCTCCCCAGCCCCGCAGCGTCCCCCGGTTATCGGTGCGGCCAGAGCCAATGTCCTGAGGTCAGCGGCGGCGCCCAAGGCCAGAGCCCATGTCCTGAGGTCAGCGGCGGGGCCCAGGGTCAGCGTGCTTGGCCTGAGGAAGAGGTGGGAGAGGCGACACCCACCCGAGGCTGTCGGGCATTTGACGAGATGAGCATTGCACCCTCCATGCACACACACAGGCTGATGGTGACACACGCACTGTCACACACACGCATGCTGATTGACAACGAGGTGCACATGACATCCTCCTCACACACACACACGCTGTCACACTGATTGTCAACGAGGTGAACCTTGCACCCTCCACACACACACACACACACAGAGGCTGGTGGTGACACACACTCTGTCACACACATACATTGTGGTTGTCAATGAGATGGACGTTACATCCTACACACACAGGCCAGTGTCACAAACAGGCTAAGTGTCACACTGATTGTCAACAAGATGAACGTTACATCCTCCACACACACACGCTGATTGTCAACGAGATAAACATAACATCCTACACACATACACACACACTGAGTGTCACATACACGCTGATTGTCACACACAGGCTGATTGTCGACGAGGTGAACATTACATACTACTCACACACACACACTAAGAAACTGTCAACCCGAAAGAACTAGCTTAAAAGTCACACATACACTAATTGTCACACACTGTCACACGCGCTGGTTGTCAACGAGATGAACGTTACACCCCACACACGCGCACACACTCACACGTGCGCACACGCTGATTGCCAACCCCGAAAGAAAGGAGTAGCTCCGAAGTACCAGCGCACTTAGGGAGGTCCCAGACTGGGGCTGTGTCCTGGGGGCCAGGTGATGAGCCTCGCTGGGAGGGAGTAGTGCCCAGTGGGCCGGCGCGCAGCACGGAGAGTGGTGGGCCCCGGGCTGTCCAGTGCTGGCCTCCCTGCTCCCCACGCCAGGAAAGCGACCTGGCAAGCACTTTTTGGTCTCCAGTTTGCCTTTGAAATGGAGCCTCTGAAGGAGGTTTGGACAGTCCTCCTGCCGTTCCTTCCCTAGCCTTAGAAAAGAAGGAAAAAGAAGAGGCTGGCACCCGCCATTGACCGAAGTTGACCCAAACTGCGTGGCTGGTGTGCATGTGCCCGGCAGCAAAGCTGACTTTCTCTGTGCGAAGGGTTTGGGTTTGGGGTTTTTCTCAGGTGCACTGCACTACTCCTGGGCACAGGGGGCTGAATCCAGAATCCCTCCATTAACTCAAAGCGTTAGCCACAGTAGCCAGCTCCCCGGGACTTATGAGTCTTTGTTTTCTGCTTAAAAAAAAAAAAAAAAACCTGCTGAGGAGCGCTAGTTATCAGATGATTGTAGTCACTTAGGAAAGAGGAGGGGGAACCTACAGTAGCACAGGTTGTGACAAGTTAAAAATACTAAGAATACCATGGTTTCCCAGTAAGTAACTTGAGAATGTTGTTATTTTAATTGAGTTACCAAATATAGCTTCACCTTCCTAAATCTCAGGGCTACGCACACCACATTCATTTGGGGGAACATTCAGGAAAGCTCTCTGCTTCCTATTTTAACTGCTCAAATGTGGGTGTGAACACAACCAAAGATTTATTTTTCCCAGAATAATTTCCTGATGTTAGCTTTTTGTTCAACTTTGTGTTGTTATGAATGCTCACTGCCCTCTGCCTTCTGCCTTGCTCCCTGCCAGCTCCAGGAGACGAGGGAGAAAGTGAGAATGGCTCAAAATCATATTGTTTTCAGCTTTCATTGCTGTATGAACATGTGTGAATGATTTGACATCATTAATAAATAATTTCTAGACCATATATTGTCAGCTTTTCATATAGTAAGAAATAAAAACCTGTGTATCCAATGAATTTCTTGTGTTACTGCTCATCTTGTTAGAATATGAAGATACTAGCTAACTGTGTGTGCCAAACACCTGAAATGCTTTCACTGACAACAGCTCATTTATATACATAAATGCATTTAATGAGCATATAATAGTCCTTAAATTAAAAAAAAAGTTGGGGGTGTCTGACGCTGTGGCACAGCAGGTTAAAGCCCTGGCCTACAGCGCTGGTATCCCATATTGGCGCTGGTTCTAGTCCCAGCTGCTCCTCTTCCAATCCAGCTCTGTGCTATGGCCTGGGAAAGCAGCAGAAGATGGCCCAAGTCCTTGAGTCCCTAGAAGCTGCTGGCTTCTGGCTTCAGATCGGCACAGCTCCGGCCGTTGCAGCCATCTGGGGAGTGAACCAGCAAATGGAGGACCTCTGTCTCTGTCTCTGCCTCTCTGTAATTCTGTCTTTCAAATAAATAAAATAAATCTTTAAAAAAATGAATTTAAAAATTTGGGGGCTGGCATGGTGGCGTGGCAGGTAAAGTCACCACCTGTGGTGCCAGCATCCCATATGGGCACCGGTTGGAATCTCAGCTGCTCCGCTTCTGATCCAGCTCCCTGCTAATGCACCTGGGAAGGCAGAGGAGGACGGCCAGATGCCACATGGGAGACCTGGACGAGCCTCTGGCTCCCGGCTTCAGACTGGCCCAGCTCCAGCTGACGGAAGACCTCTCTCTGTCTCTTCCTCTCTAACTCTGCTTTTCAAATAAGTGAATAAATCTTAAAATTTTTAAAAAAGAAAAGCTTATAGTAAGCACATTACAAGTCACATATTAGGAGGCCCAAAGACAGAAATTCAGGGTATGTGATAGCAAAAAAAGGTTCAGTTGCTTGTCTATAAATGCTAAGGGATGTGTTCTTAAATGTCAAAGCCAAAAAAAAAA